AGTGTATAGGATTTCCTGAAAGCGCGCACCGGCGCGTTCATGACGCTACGGAAGCCGTTAGAGTCACTGAGTGCGAAAATCAAAGCATCGATAAGGATAAAATATAAAAAGACCTACAGGGGCAGTTTTTATGTTGTTGCTATTTTTATTTTATTTTTTTAAGGATAACAGAAAAGGGGCCACAAACAGCATACGTTGATTGTTAGCATGGAGCAAAAGATTTGAAAAACGTCCTGGCTACGAACAGAGGACCCAGTATTCAAGGCAAGACAGACAGTGGCAAAAGCGTTTACTAAAAATCCCAATGGTAAATTCCATTGGGACCAAGTAGCACTAAATTGATGACTTAGAAACAACACTATAAAAGAACGCTATGGACAGCGGAAACATGCAAAAGGAGGAGAGTTTTGTGTCGGAGGTCGTGGATGAGTCTCCTCTGTCATACATTTATTTTATAGAGGAGAAAAGTTGGGACGAACTTGTGGAAGAGGATGCCAGGGCGGCAGAAGCTTGATTTGGTGTAGAAGGCTTACAGCCGTACATGTTTGAGCCCTTGCTTCGTAACGCTGCCAGTTCTGTTAGCTCTACGCCTGCCGAAGACTCAGACGTCCATCCCCGTGAACACTGGGACGGAACTCAATAGGAAAGTAAATGATTCTTATTTCAACCGTTGCGTATATTAGCTGCGACATATCAATAAAGATGCTATTACCGTTGATTGGCCGAATTTAGAATTTAGGTGTTCAGGCTGACGTATAACTAACTGGCCTGCATAAGATAATGGGAAAAAAAACAAGATTTTAAGACAAGATTTTTCTTTTAAATAGGAATTTATTGATAAAGAGTGCATTTATATACATGTTTAAGCCAGAATGATTTGACATTTAAATATGACTTCCCTACGACTTTAACTCTCGTTTAACCTAAAACTCCTCCAACAGACAGAGAACTGGCGCAACCTGCCCCGTCATATATCCACACATAAAATTCATAAAATAATGTTGCTGGTGTATGAAACTGAATCTTAACTAAGACCGGATGCATACGAGCTCCCAGTTGTTGGGGCATAACTGCAAACTAATGGGCAAATATTAAACCAGAGGAAACTGAATATATATTCAAGTTGCTTGCCATAGAGTATGTCCCACACTCAAGGATGTTGAATAGATAATCAAACAGGTTGCCATACAGACAGCAGGGACCTGCGTGTCACCTACTACTGCTGATCTGGGGTCAGTTTGGATTTGCATCAAACCATGGAGCGCATGTCTTCTCCGGTCAGATTTCGGAGCAATAAAAAAGGTTGGTCCATAATATTTACATTTTTCTATCATAACTTTGTGTTTTATTAAATCTCCAGCAGTTTAAGGGGAAAGAATAATTTTTTGAAGCTGGCCACCAATTAGGCTCTAATATTACTGCAGAGGACCTTGGAGAATTCAAGTCCCCCCCCATAAGCTAAACTATTTATTTATATTATTCATTTTAATGTTTATGCTAAGAGAAAATAACCACAGAAATTTATTGAAAATATATTCCTTATAGCCAGATTGTCCCCTAACTTTTAAACACGCTGCTGCTTTTGTTCAAAGACACTTCAGCTTTTACGGAAAAGCAGGTAGGACTCTATAAAATACTGTAGCTGTAGTGTTTGTTAGAGTTGGTGTTTGTGTGTTTGGGAGGTAAATCTCCAACCCCCCACCCTGTTAGAGCATTAGAAGCTGGGTTAAGCCTGCTGCTGCCAAGCTTTGTGGGTAATTAGAGGTGACAGGTAGAGAGAGGCCAGAGGAAACTTAATCAGGTCTGCAGCACTTCTTTGTCATTAGATCAAGCCAGTGGGGCAGTAGGCTTGATAGTTTGAGCAATTGCTCTGATTTCTGCTTCTCTTCTGTTTGTGAAAAGTAAATAATTTAGAATCCGGTATAAAGCAGGTGTGGGGTGTTGCAATAATAAAAAGCTCTGATGAATCTTGCAAAGATGTGTCAATAAACACAACGTAGTTTGACCGAACAAAGCCTCAACTTCAGACTTTTCTCCTCCTACCATGACAGATGGATGAGTTTATTTTAAAAGTTATAATGACATCACTGGTCAGATCAAATCAGAGAACAAACAGCTCAGTTGAAAACTTCTCATAATAGTAGAATAAAATGCATTTTTAGCTACTTTTTTTTCTGATTATTTACAGGTAATAGCAAATCGTCCGAGTTCTTGGGACACAATCCCTGAAAAGCCTTTTTACACTTCTTGAGTTTTTTTCACATTTTGAACCATTTTTGCCACAAAGTCTAATATATCTGATCAGGCTTTAATAGGAAATACCAACATGAAATATTCTATTGCTGGCTCATGGAAGGACATTAAATCGTATTTTTTTCCCTACTGTAAATGAGCATCACCACAGCATGATGCTGAACTCCCTGTTTCAGTGTTCCACCATTTAAAGCCAAGCAGTTTCATTCTCCTCCATGGCTTTTGGCAAACCGCAAATCAAACTTTTGACTCTTTCATCTTTAAGTAAAGGTATTATTTGTGGAGTCTTTGCGTAATAACAGTCCTGCTTTCCAGTTTAACTGATTCACATTAGCTGTGCAGCTCTTCAGAAGTTACCATGAATGGCTCTTTGACTGATTAATGTTCATTTTGCCCAGCTGGTCAGTTCAGGTTGATGCCCATGCCTTAGCAGGTTTGTCACCAGCCTGCATTCATGGCAAAGCTTAGGGATATTGTCTATAACCTAACCTTGCATCAAATAAAGAATTACTTCCCCTTATTTATGTGGCACCAATTAACAAGACGGTTGAGTCTTGTCATTAACCTGCCGAAACTCACTGTTCCTGGGTGACCAATTTGCAACACAGGATATTTGCCTGCATTGCATCATTGATTCTGCAGGGATCCTTCATACTAAGCATGCATGCACTGACAGTGGAGAGGAAAAGGTCTAATTTAATGAAGAAACTTGCAGCAGAAGAAGGCTCAAATTGAGCTGAGGGGCCATATCTCCATAACTCTGACCTGACTGCTGTTTTCCTCTGATATCTTCCCAAAACAGCCATATGTATGCCGAGGTTAAACCCCTCAAAGAAAGACTACATGAAGGCAATAGTTCATACAGCTTTTATTGTAAATGTTCACCTTACAGATGCTGTATTAAAAAATGAGGTGACTTGCATTGGATTTTCATCTAGCACTATCATCATAGTGAATCGGTTAAAATATGGTGTTGAAACAGTGGTTTGATTTGTAAAATAAAAAGATATTCAATTAAATTGTCAAATATGCATCTTTCTATGTTGGTCTATCACAAAAAAACAATAAAAAACAGATGGTTTCCTAACCAACACAATTTGTGAAAAAAAGGGTCAGAGAGTGAATCAGGCTTGCATATTATATAAAAAAAATCTATTGACAGAATTTATAATTTTCATCATAATCGACTGCTTGAAATGGACTATTGACTAATTATTTAAGCTTTACACGTTCTCGCTCTCCATTCTTTTAAGTAGGTGGTGAGAGTTTTTGTTTATCACAAAATGAAATATTTTATAGGTAAAGAAAATGGTAAAAGAAACCACAATAAAGCAGTTCTACTGCCAGGTCTGCACACATCAGGATTTTATGGCAGCTGGAAAACCTAAAGCCATCATTCTCTGATGTTTTTGGACATGGTTTGTTTTCCTAAAGTGTGCAGCTGTAGTTAAACTGTTTAGAAATAAACCTGTAATAGTTATTCCCTTTTTAGTCTCTAGTAGAAGTAGGATAAATAGCTAAAAAAAGAGGAAACTTTGTCACATTTTGTCCCAGCTGTCGAGCCTTTCCATCGAAGACCAGGCAGACATGCAGTTTCCCTTCGCCATGAGGGATCTACCTCCCGTCACTTATTCAGCTGTAAAGACACAGAATCCAGAGCATGAGAGAGAGGAAACTGTGGTCACTGCCAACGGGAGGCTGCCCAGCTGCCCAGGAGCTCCCCCTGCACCCCGTCCCGTCCCCTGTCCCCCTACTGGTTCTCCCACAGTCCCCCCCAGACCGACCCACTCAGGAAAGGGCTCCTCACAGATTCTGCCTTTGAAGAGGCAGCTTGTCTCTCAGGTATCTCTGGACTCTCCGCTGAGCCCGGCCTCACGACCACGGAGCCCCTGGGGGAGCTTTGACCCCTACGACTCTCCAGAGGTGAGTTCTGTTAAACTGTCTTTTTATTCTTTATACAAATACTTGAATAACTGCTGCCAAGCCAACATCACCTATAAGATGCGGATGTGTTTCCACCTCCTTCTTACTATTTTGTATAAAACAGATTGTTTTCCTCCTATTTTAACATAATCACTTGCTGTGAGTAGGTCAGACCTAAGATGTGGTCAGTTAAAGTAGACCTTATATCTAAGGATGACCTTAAGTAGACCTTATATCTAAGGTTGTTTCTGTGGTCATGTATCTCAGGGTATGTCCCTAACTTTCATTTATTCAGTGTGATGGAGCTCCATAGATGCATTTGGTTTATGCTGATTGCTCAATGAAATGTGCCCAATGCTCTGATTAACATGTTTCTGCCTTCTTTCTATAGGATCAGGACAAAGAGTATATAGGTTTTGCTACGTTGCCCAACCAAGTTCACAGAAAGACGGTAAAGAAGGGATTTACATTTACGCTCATGGTGGCAGGTGAGTCCTTTCCTTATCTCTGCAGAGTGGGACGTATAGAAAAGCGTAACTGAGATTTGCTTGCAGTGGACAGAATAACAGGAAGCGTTTTAGCGTTTTAGCATCCGCACCAGAACCAGCGCTGATGTGGGTTTTTAGATGATTCTCTTCTGATCTCCTGGTTGTGTCAAAGTTTAAATGTACAAACTGTTGATTCAAGTTTAGAATGAAGAGTTTTGAGGGCTCCTACCTCTAGTGCATTTCTTTGTCTGCTTTCAATGTATCAGCATATCTGAAAGAAGAGAAGGTGCATGAGTACAGAAGCAGATTGCAATCGATTGCGGAGCCCTTTGTTGTTTTTTTGGCAATCCATAGGACATTGGCTTTGTATTTTTATTGTTTTATTTTGAATTTTCTCATTCATTTTGGTTTGTTTTTGTACTCTAGTTAAACTTTTTTCCAGCTGTAAGGTTAAATCCTGTTTTCAGATGCATTCAGAGGGAAAAAAGCCGAGTACAGTTTAAATGGCTTAGAGACACAAATATTACATAAGCTTTTATTACAGTAAAACACAAATTATTATTTTGTAAATATGCTCTATGGGAAAGCTGTGACAATTTTAAACAACAAGCAGCTTATTTTGTATATTTAGCTTTTAAAATAAGTGGAAACTGAAAATGCCTGACGAGAAAAAGAAAACATGGGCTTTCCTCAATAAAATGTTATTTGATGTGAAAAGAAAAAAAAAAGGAATTTCAAAGCTAAGAACAAGAAAATTAGACCCACAAAGACATTACTGGTACTTTTAAAGCCATGATTCTGTTAAACATATTCCAAACTCGCAAGGTCTCTATGCCTGGTAATTGTTTTCATATTACATTCTAAACTTTTTGTTGGTTCTTCATCATTTTCAGCCACTAGTGAGAGCCATAAAGGGTCCAAAGATCCATCAGCGGCTCCAGAACCACAGGTTGCAGACCCCTGCATTAGACTTATGAAACATATATTCAACTATTTGGACATAATAACCATTGATACCTTGTAAGGTTTGCAAACAGATGTAGAAACCTTGTGGAATTTAAAACAGAGCAGCAGAGGTCCCACTGTCTTCAATCACAGCAGAAGCACCAAATAAAAAAATTAAAAAAGACACACCCACATTTAAACGATACAGCTTTCTAAAGCATCAGCCATCTCTAATAAAAGGGATTGAAACTTTGACAACATTTACATTTTCTATCTGGGAAAAAATAGATTAAATTAAACCTCTAGAGGGAAAAAAAAGAAAACAAAAAGACAACATTTACAATTAAATTAAACTAATTGAAGCTAAACAATACTCCAAATCCAAACAAAACCTGAAACATCTCCCCTCCCACTGAGTCAGTTTTGATTTCCCTTATGAGGCTGATTGGAAACATTAGGTCCTTGTCAGCACTGCTCATGGGCGCGCTGCTATGGCAACACCTCAAAGAAAAAGAGAGCGGTGAGAACAAAAAAAAAAATTAAAGTTACATCAATAAATACAAAGACTTAAACCTTCCCCCAATTACTACATTTTTTAAAAGACAGAAAAGGCAAGTATACAACACCTATTAGTGACGGGGGTTAATCCTTCACATACCTTTGGAGAAGGTTGAAGCAAATCACCCGTTTGGTGAAGATGTGATGTTCTATGATCTGAGTTGATTAGAGAGACTAAAAATGTTCTTGATTAATAAAACATTTCATTTTTGCATTCTGTAGGTGAGACTGGACTCGGCAAATCCACGTTAATCAACAGCTTGTTCCTCACCGACCTCTACAGAGACAGAAAAGTTCCCAACGCTGAGGGTAAGCTCCCTCTTATCATTTACCTTAGCTCCAAACCATAAAAGTGTTTGTTTCCTTTTTTTTTTTTTTCTCTCCTCATGTGTTCAGTTCTTCTTAGAGTGTCTCTAACTTTGTATCCACTGCTAACTCATGACTGCACATGTCTGCAGAACGGATCAGTCAAACAGTCGACATCGTCAAGCACACCATCGGGATCGAGGAGAAAGGAATCAAACTGAGGCTCTCTATCATAGACACTCCTGGGTTTGGAGATGCAGTCAACAACACAGAAAGGTGGGGCCCATCAAGTGGTTATAAACAGCACGGTCCTGCAGCAGCCTGAGCACACAAATCAGGCTTCTCAATATGCAAAACCTTTCCTGATAAAATCTACATTAAATGCACACATATTTGACATTTTCTTACCAATAAAGTGACCAAAAACTATTAAAAATTATCTGTTAAAAACATTTCTACATTTAAAAATGGTTTTGGTAGTCCTGGTAATTTAATTTGATCATTTCTTCCTTCATATGTTGTATGTTTTTTTTATTTTATCTTTTTTAAGTTTTTATTTTACTTTTTCACCCTAAATAGACATCATGCTCAGTCCTATACCATCAGAATTACGTCCAAATCAAATCAGTAACTTAAGCTGAATCCTGACTGGTTTGTTTGGTTAAAATCTCCATCAGAGCCTCACAAAAACTCTACGAAGTGACACATTCTGAGAAATAGCTCGCATATCAAACATCTCCTCCTGTGTGGCTGCTTTAATCACAAGAATTATATGTGTTTGCATCAGCTGGAAGCATGTTGAGGACTACGTCGACCAGCAGTTTGAGCAGTATTTCAGAGACGAGAGTGGGCTGAACAGAAAGAACATCCAGGACAACAGAGTCCACTGCCTGCTCTACTTCATCTCTCCGTTTGGTCACGGGTATAACCCACCACAGCCCATACTTCTGTATCAATAGATGCTTTTACAGCAATATGTTCAGAGTTTAATTAATTGCAAGTTAACTACTATGTAGTCTTCTCTTAGCTCTCTACTGTGCAGATATTTTTATATCTAAGGGAACATATTCCAGCACATTAAAGCTTTTTTTCGTAATGCCTATTTGTACTATATACACTCTTTTTATATTGTCTGTTGTATTTCTATCTTTAATGGTATCTTGCTTTAACTCTTTGTACTCCATATAAGCTACTGGAATCAGAAATTCCCAGAAGTATGGAGGACCAACTCTGCCATATTTAAAAATAAATACAGAAATAAATAAATGCTCAATAAATAAATAAGCATACAATTAATTGCCACCAAAATACAATCAACAAATAAATGTAAGTAGAAATTAAATTATACAGTGAGACATAAATGTATATAACTCTTTTAATTAGCTTCTTTATTAATTTGCCTTTAATAATATTTATAATATTATTTATAATAATGGAAATATAATAATATTTATCTTATTTATTTTTTTGTCCTTTATAATCTTCAACTTTATTTTTTAATTACTTATATTTTTAAGTATTTATTTATGTGCATGTTATAATATTTTTGTCTGTTTTATTCTTCCTTTGCATTTTTTACCCTAGTTATTTTTTCGCCGCCATTTATTTATGCCTGCCCTTTTTACATTTAATTTAATAAATTTTTTTACATTTAATTTAATTAATTTAATGAATTTAATTTCTACTTACATTTATTTGTTTATTGTAATTTTGGTGGCAATTAATTGTATGCTTATTTATTTATTGAGCATTTATTTATTTCTCTATTTATTTCTAAATATGGCAGAGTTGGTTCTCCATACAGAAGGAGTAATCCCAAGGGATAAATAAAGTTGAGTCTAAGTCTAAGTCTAATTAGGCCTTGTGTGTCTTATGCTGCCAGTCTCAGACCTATTGACGTGGAGTGCATGAAAGCTATGCATGAAAAAGTAAACATCATTCCTCTACTGGCCAAAGCTGATAGCCTGACACAAGCAGAGGTCAACCGCAAAAAGCTGAAGGTACAAAAATTAACAAGCACCCAACATTTACCCTGTATCACACGGTCAGCACAGATTGATGTCTGTAAAATATTCCTCTTTTATCGCTCGTCTTTTTTATGCTTAACTTCCACTTAACTAATTTAGTTTTCTTGTGTTTCAGATCAAGGAGGAGATCAAGCAGTTTGGGATTAATATCTACCAGTTTCCAGATTGTGACTCTGATGAGGATGAGGACTTTAAGAGACAGGAGCAGATCCTCAAGGTTCGATCTGATGTAAGATGTAAATGTCGTTTGCAGAGTTGATAGTTTGGTGTTTTTTTTCCTTATCTTTTTTTAGGACAGCATCCCATTTGCTGTGATCGGGAGCAACATACAGGTGGAGAGCAAAGGCAGAAAGTTCAGAGGCCGCTCTTATCCATGGGGTATAGTAGAAGGTACTGAACAAATAAAAGAGTAAATACGCCTTTTTAAAATTTCAAATATCAATTTATTGTATTTTATTGAGATTCTGTTATGCTTTCATACCTTGTGTGTAACATCTTTCTTTCTTTTCCTGCAAAAAAACGCTCATCATCAGAATGTTTTTATTCATTTATTAAAGCTCAGCCTTTAGCACAATCTTCCCAAACATCACGACGTAAAAAACATACAGTAACCTGTGTATTTGTCCAACTTTCTGCAGCTGAATAAAAACATTTTCCCTGCAAACCACAAAAAAAAAAAAACTGTTGGTACGGCTAAATATCAGTAAGAGATGTGGCCTAGTGATTAGAGCATTGCGCTCGGGTCCCGGTGATCCTCAGTTCAAGTCCCACTCATTCCCACAGACTGCCTCTATTGGTCTCTGAACCAGACCTTTTACCCCAATTGAGACTTTTTCCATTCTTTTTATTTCCCCATTTTGTAGTCAGTCTTAACAGCAGTCAAGCAAAAACCTTCAGACAGAAAGACAGTTATGCTTGTTAGTGAACATATACTATTGAGGACACACAAACTATAAATGAAATCAAAATACTTGAAACAATCTAATTTACATATACACATGACAGTTTTACAAAATGTACAAACAATATTGCACCTTGCCCAGACATTTACAGTAACCTTAAATACCATACAACACAACCTGATAAATCACAACATGGATACACTTTTCCCAAAATATTTACACCACTGCAGACATTTTCAAATCAAGGAGCATAAATGAGAACAGTAGCAGTAAGATCCTATAAAATTCAGATTTCTTACCGGCTGCCTCTTCAGTTTTTTGACATGGGGCCTCAATTCTCTGCAGCAGCAGTGCAACAGTCACAGAGTGGTCCTGCAAATTGGAACATCATAAAAATCTTGACACAAACAGAAGAAACTGTTAAAATGTGTTAGGGACACAGGGACCCTGAAGCAGAGATGGGGGATCTGGAGTCAACAAGTCATTTCTATGTCATGTTTTTGTTCTACCCAGCCACTGAACC